GGTAGCGGGGCACGGACGGGCCCGGTGGGGTCGGGAGCCGGGCCCGGTGCGATGGAGAAGCTACAAACGCTGCTGGATCATGAGAGGCGAAGTGGCCCGGAGCCGTGCCCGTGTGGCCGTGGTCCAGACTGGGCACGGACGTGGCGGAGCTCCCTGGGTCACCGGCGAATTCTCCCGAGGTGGCAGTCGGTAACGTTTAAGATGCTTTTCTCCTGTAGTGCAGTGGGTGCCAAGGGTTGGTACTGCAGCGTTGGGTGTCTGCATCGGTTGTGTTCTCCAGTCCTGAAGATTCAAACGTCTTTCTGTCCTCCAGCAATTGACTGACCTTCCCCTCTGGCCAAAGGCCCCATAGTTAAATGGGGGTTACACGGCTGCTACATTTCCTTTAAATTCTGAAGGACTTGGTAATAATTCTCCATACCATATCACTTATCCATGTACAATGATCTTTTTACCTTCTGTGTTTCCTGGAATCCAAGAGCCATGTGCTGTCATAATTTCACCATTGGCCACCATTAGCCATTATGGTATAATTGGCAACCACCAGTTTTAAAAGACAGTTTACAATGATTTTTCATTAATTGGAAAAGAATTCCATAGCCCAAAGAGTTGGTTTTGTTTCAGTTAAATCTTAGCATCACGTCAAAACAAAGATCTTTTCTACAAAGTTGAATGAAAGCTGCTCTTTTTGAGAGAGGACAGAGGCTGCAGTGCTGTTTAAAATGGACATTGTGCGTAGCGAAGTGCCATGAAAGTTGCAAAAGCTTAACTCAGATTGGTTTTAGGCAGCTTTACATCAGCATAATTTTCAACTGGAAGGAATTAAGGAGACAGGTTTAATGAACATATGGAGTAATTACATAAACAGGAGTCTTCAGCCAGGAAAAGAGGGGTGTCAGGAGCAACACAGAGCAGGGAACAATCGCTCCCCGTTTATTCGAATGCAAGAACAGGCATAAAATGAAATGAGGTGGGGTGGGCTCAAAATAACCCCCCCCTATTTTCTCATGCCATGTAATTAAGCTGAGGAACACTTTGCCCCAGAATGTTATGTGGGGCCAAATTTAAGAGTTAAGATAATTTGATGGATGAAAGATCATGATGACTTCTCTGGTGCTTCCTAGTGTGACCGCTGGTTGCTGCTTCTAAATTTGTCCCATCAGATCTGTGGGAAATGAAGAGCTGATTCTATGAAGACACAGTAGGAACAAAACACACACACACACACACACACCAAAAAAAAATGAGAGAGAGCAGAGTAAGAAAGGAGTTTGAGCATTTGTCCTTTTTTGCATATTCACTGAAGCATTTAATATCTGTATATGGCTGAGTTGTGTTCAATTTAGCTTTTAAAGACCACTTGCCCCGTTTCAAAGAGGGAACAATAAATAACAAAATAAAGTATTTTTTTTGGGGGGGGTGTTTTGTAATAGTAGGAATTCTTCTTGCTTTAGTTAATTCAGTCCAAGGCTGTACTTGCAGTGGGTGCTGAGACAGATTTGTCTGTGAAGTCAGTCATAGTTGCAAAAGGCTTCCAGTTTCAGTATGGGAAGGCTTCCGTCTAACCAAAAGTGATTTTGCTGTTTTTGCAAAAGGACACGTGTTCTCTTGAAAATCATCATTTTCCCTGAGTCTATCAGATACTCAGATTAGAGTCTGTCATTCTTGTTCTTGCCTATTGACCTCAATAAATAGTAATGTGGAAAGAACAGAGAAAATACAAAAATCAAGGTGCTCTATAGCTTCAGGTATGAGGTTGGAAGATTATTTTCTTCTGTTTATGGTGCAGAATGAAGACAGGAAAAATCAGACAAGCTTACCTTTTCTACTAGCTACTGCCATGATCGTCATGACAATGATTTTTTGTTTTCCCTTTTACTAGGGAAGCAGTTTGTACAATTTGTAAAGGAAGATATATAGGGCTAGAGGGCTTTTTTGTTTGCTTGTTTAAAAAAAAATTGCTTTAATGCTGATTAAACCAGTGATACAATAATAAGTCACACGAAGAGCCTGGCTCTACCTTCCCTATAACCTCCCACCAAGAAACTGAAGCCAACAAAAAGATCTCTCCCTTTCCTTTCCCTTTTAAGACCAAACAAACCCCTCCCTTGGTCTCTCCTTGTCTTCCATCTGCTCTCTATTCTCCATCCTCCATCCGCTCCAACTTGTTAATCATCTTGGTGGCCCCTGACTGGAATTGCTTGAGGGTGTCAGTATAATGTACTGGGGAACTCCACACGACTGGTTTCATTCTGTGTCTTGGTAATACTTCTCCAAAGTCAACTGTTATAAATAGAAAATAACTAGTGTGGTTGCTGAAAATGAACGTGGTACTTTTTATCCTGGCTTGTCATTACTGAAGAACATGGTTGACATAAGCTCTAGAAAATATCAACTAATCCCTAAATCCAAATGCAGGATTTTCCGTTTGCTGGTTTTGGACATTGGATTTCCACATGAAATTTTGTGTGTACCACTGGCCCCATATCTGCTGTAAGGGGCTAAGACAAAACAATCAACCATTTGAAGCCAAAATTATTTTTAAAAAATTGTTAATAAAGGATGTTAATAAATCGCTAATAAAGGATATTACTGCCTTCCTGTTGTTAAAATAGAACTGTGTAATGTTTCTGAACAGGGCATTTAAATAAATAAAAAAAAAAAAGAGTGCTTCCTGCAAATCAAGAAACCGTGTTCCCGTGGAGATGCAGGAGCTTGATTTGGCAAGATGAAGCAATCAGCCGTTTGAAGTTCCTAACACGTGAGGCATAGGTCAAGCATGTTTTTAGGAGTGTTAAATGTTTCCCACGTGGGAAAATATAAATTAGAGGAAGTAATTTTTGTATTCTGGGAAGGCTTTGATGCCTTTGTTGAATTAAGAACGACACAATAGTACCATATAGATCTCCATCCAGATGTGCTTGTCCCCCCGCAAAGGTAGGAGCTCGTTCCTGACTGCCTTGTCTTCTCCACAGATGTCTCTCCCGTTGTGGCAGGCCTCATCGGTGCTACTGTCCTTGTGGTGTCTGTCTCAGTAACAGTGTTTGTGTGGACATGCTGTCACCAGCAAGCAGAAAAGAAGCACAAAACCCCACCGTATAAATTCATTCACATGTTGAAAGGCATCAGTATCTATCCGGAGACCTTGAGTAACAAGAAGAAAATTAACCGAATCCGGAGAGACAAGAACAGCACTCCTAAGGAGACTGGAAGGGGAAACCTCTTGGTGGATGCTGCTGAATCTGGTTTAATAGGCTCCGACAAGGCTCCAGATGAGCCAAATGCAGCCCCCCATGTCGACCAGCTCCCAATAAAAGTAGATTATGGAGATGAACTAAGTCCAGATCAAAGCCTCACTCCAGGAGGAAGTAAAACCTCCTCCCCATCTTCTCCAGGGGATGATGTCATGTTGGGTGAACTGACTTTCTCAGTGGACTACAACTTCCCTAAAAAAGCGCTGGTGGTTACCATTCAGGAGGCTCACGGGCTGCCAGTGATGGATGAGCACACTCAGAGCTCTGACCCTTATATCAAGATGACAATTCTTCCAGATAAAAGGCATCGAGTGAAGACTCGTGTACTTCGCAAGACGCTAGACCCAGTCTTTGATGAAACCTTCACCTTCTATGGGATCCCCTACAGCCAGCTCCAGGATTTGGTGCTTCACTTCCTCATCTTGAGCTTTGATCGCTTTTCTCGAGATGATGTTATTGGAGAGGTCATGGTGCCCCTTGCAGGGGTGGATCCAAGCACTGGAAAGGTTCAGCTGACCAGGGAGATCCTCAAAAGGAACATACAAGTAAGTCACTTCATGTAGTGTGAGACAAGTCTCCTTGCGTCACACTACATGTGTGCACAAAAGAACCAATCCCAGTTAATCATAGAATGGTTTGGGTTGGAAGG